CTGGAGGCTCACAGGGATACTCAGGGTCCAGTCATGGCCAGGCTTACGGACAGTCAGGAGATACCTACAAACATGGGGAGGCAGGTCAAGGACATTCCTCACAGTCAGGATCTGGCAGAAGTGGAAGAAGGGGATCTAGTCACAGTGAGTCCAGTGGCAGTGAATGGCATTCTGGAGGCTCACAGGGACACTCAGGGTCCAGTCATGGCCAGGCTTATGGACAGTCAGGAGACACCTACAAACATGGGCAGGCAGGTCAAGGACATTCCTCACAGTCAGGATCTGGCAAAAGTGGAAGAAGGAGATCTAGTCACAGTGAGTCCAGTGGCAGTGAATGGCATTCCAGAGGCTCACAGGGACAGTCAGGGTCCAGTCATGGCCAGGCTGGATCTCAGCATGGAGAGTGGGGATCCTCTGGTAGAGGGAGACAGGGAACTACTCATGGACAGTCAGGAGACACCTACAAACATGGGCAGGCAGCAGGAAGACAAAATCGTCGATCAAGTCAAAGATGGAGACACGGTAGCTATGGATGTGCAGGATATGACTATGGGCAATCTGGGTATGGACCTTCAGGGGGTAGTCGAACAAGCAGTCACAATTCTAGCCCTGTTAGGCCAAGGAACAGAACTGAAAACAAGCAAGTGTCAGTTCACAGCCATTCAGAATCTAGCTCAACTTTTAGGCAGGGATCCCATAATAATAGTAAAGTGCGTTCAGAAGATTGGGGGAAACAGATTAATAAACAATCAGGATCTAGGCACAGACAGTCAGACTTCAATACAATTGATATACATGGATCCAGTCAACAGCATTTCGGAGATACATCTTCTCAAGATCAGGTAGAATCCAGCATAAGTTTAGCAAGACAGGGATCAAGTCATGGACAATCCAGAGATGTCCAGGATCAATCTGGATTCAATACCAATGAAAGGCAAGTATATAGCCATGGCCATTCAAGTGATAGCTATGGACAGGCAAGTGACAGCAGAAGCAGAAGTGAAAGATCCATTTCCAGTCACCCTCTTCAGAACCAAGATCATACAGGAACTGAGGAGTATAGATATGGGTATTCATCAAGCAGTACAACTGGATGGAGTGGGGGTAAGCAAAAGCAAGAGTCAGGATCAAGGATGTTAGGGAGCATCAGAAGACTCAGTCAGCATATGGATGATAAGCAAGCAAGAGACTCTGAAACCAGGGGTTACCATAGAAGGGGAAGAACAGACGTAGGTCCTTCTCATTTAGATAGCAACACCCCACTCTATCAATATATCCAAGAGCAAAAGTACTATTACTTTGAATAATCATTTGAAGATAATAGAAAACTAACTTAAAATAAGAACTAACTCAAAGAAGAAATTCCATACACATGCAATTAAGATATTTAACGTGATCCCTTCTTTTGGTAGTGGAGGTATACATAGTTTAACTGTGCTACTCTTTTGTTCGGTGCAAGGTGTTTTTTTTTGTAAGGCTCCTTAACTATTGAGCTCTTTGGCTGAAAAACAGTGAATGGAAGAACTAAATGGCATTTGGGACTATATTTAATACTATATGACAAAAGTGATTTGCATGCTTTGGGATAAAATGGGCATTTAAAAATTTTTTCTGAAATTCAAATTTTAGATTTTCCAGTTTTCTTTCAATTATTTATTGACAAACCTATGCAGAAATCTAAGAGACATGGTTCAGGAGCCAAATTTTCTCTAATAGCATTGTAACATATTCCATGTACTGAGCAAAGAATGTTATGGTATTGAAGATTCAGAAGAATTGCTTCTTTTGTGCCACCTCTGGAACTCTGTACTACTACTTTTAAATTTATTGTCATGACCTCCTGGATATAGGATCCAGAAAATTGTACTGCAAATAATTGACAATAAACTTTTCATCAAGTTACAGTTTTGCTTCTCTTTCATCCTCACAAACACAAAGATCCCTGTCATGAGGTCAGATGCACATTTCCTTCTACCTCTGAACACCTAGATGGCGGTAAAGCATCAGATACCAACAATAGGGAATTCAAAGAAGGCAAAACTCAATAAACTTAATTACATCTGATCTCATCTTTTCCTCAATGTAATTACTGTCCAAAGCATTTACAGAAAGAAATTCTTTATACTGATGGGTTGACCTCAGATGCTTTGTTAATAATGATCATCACAGCAATCATCAAACATAATCCTAAGCACTATACCCTGAGACAACCCAAGCTCTGGAAATGAGTCATGCACCACAAACTCTCTCTGTCAAAGATATTAATTGAAATATCACTGCCAATGGAGGCTAATGGCAGTGGAGGCTAATGGTGTCCTGAATTTTCCAGTCGAAGAAAAATGTTTAAAAATATAGTCCTTGCCCTGGCTAGTGTGGCTCAGTTGGATGGGCATCATCCTGTGCACCCAAAGGTTGCAGGTTCAATTCCTGGTGGGGACACATGCCCGGATTTCAGTGGCCAAATTAGGAGAAACAAAGATAAAATTCTTCTTTCTTCAAACTTTCTAGATAAAAATGACCTTTGAATGTGTGAACTTGAAGGTCAGTGTGTACTAGACATCTGGCATGCATTGATTGCTTATTGAAATGTAAATGTTCCAGGAGTTTTTGATAACCAGAAAAGATCTAAAATAATACTACATAACCAATGGACACAAGACACTGGGCGAGGGGGGAGGGGGGTGGCGTGAGGGCATGTGCCGGCGGGGTAGGGGAGGCTGGGGAAAGGTCAATGGGAAAAAATAAAAAGGAGACATATGTACTACTATCTGTAATACTTTAAACAATAAAATTCAATTAAAAAAATATACTGCATGCTCCCCCAACCAGCGTGGCTCAGTGGTTGAGCTGTCAACCTATGAACCAGGAGGTCATGGATCGATTCCTGGTTTCTGTCTCTCTCTCCTCCCTTCCTCTCTGAAATCAACAAAAATATTTTTAAAAGCAATAATAATAATACATGCTGAGTGAAACCTGTGTTGACCACTCTAATGCAATCAGTGGTGAGTCTACATATAAGCTTAGGGGCAATGGGCAAGAGAAAGTGAAAAAACAGTAAAAGAAGAAGATTCAGGCAAAATTAGATTTGATTGAAAATGAATCAAGCCAGCAGAGGGCATCCTCCTCACTAATAACAAACTTTGGCACTATTGAAGGGCCATTCACACAGACTCTGAAACCTTTTTTTTTTTAATTAAATTTATTGGGGGGGTCATTGATTAAAAAGGATCATATAGGTTACAGGGGGGGGTTTTTCCACATTTAAAAAATCTGTTAATCTGTATATTGCTATGTGCCCCAAAAGTCAAAAAAATCATTATTTACCATCATATATTAGGTCCTCGTTAGCCCCCAGCTCTCTACCCCCTTCCCTCAGTGTTGGAGAGGTTGTGGAGGAAAGGGAACCCTCATTTACCGCTGCTGGGACTGTAGACTGGTACAGCCACTATGAAAAACAGTCTGATGATTCCTCAAAAAATTAAGAACAGATCTACCATATGACCCAGCAATCCCTCTTCTGGGTATAGCCTTGAAAACATGTATTCGCAAAGATATATGCACCCTTATGCTCATTGCAGCATTATTCACGGTGGCCAAGACATGGAGACAACCAACAATCGAAGGTATCCTTCGATAGAGGATTGGATAAAGAAGATGTGACACAGCCCAGCAGGCATGGCTCAGTGGTTGAGTGTCAATCTATGAATCAGGAGGTCACGGTTCGATTCTTGGTCAGGGTGCATGCCTGGGTTGCGGGCTAGATCCCCAGTGTAGGGCATTAGGAGGCAGCTAATCAATGATTCTCTCATCATTGATGTTTCTCTCTCTCTCTCTCTCTCTCTCTCTCTCTCTCTCTCTCTCTCCCTTCCTCTCTGAAATCAATAAAAATATATTTTTTAAATATTTGTTCTAAAAAAAAAAGAAGATATGGTACATATACACAACAGAATGTTATTCAACCATAAGAAAAGATGAAAGACTCCCATTTGCAACAACATGGATGGACCTTGAGAATATTATGCTCAGTCAAATAAGTCAGGAAAAAAAACTAAGAGCTATATGATTTTACTCATATGTAGGATATAAAACTGAAACTCGTGCACACTAGTAGGAGTCTGAAACCTATTTTAAACTACATCTTATCTAACTAGAGGCCCGGTGCACAAAAGCATGCATGGGTAGGGTCCCTAGGCTTGGCCGGCAATCAGGGCCAATCTGTGGGGCAACCAGCAGGGAGATTAAAGCAGGGGGAGGGGGTGCAAAATTGGGGGTTAGAGAAGTTTTAAAAACTTCCTGAAATACACATAGTTGTTAACCAGCAAAGTGCCAAAATTCAAGTCAGACCCTGATAACTCAAAGCCCAGGTGGCTTCTACTCCACCAGGCTACCCAACACAGAACTCTAACACCTAGAGAGCATACATCAAATGTTGGTTTCCCTTACTTTCTTTCCTCTAAAAATCAGTTCATGTATCTTCTTTTAGATAGATAGGTAGAAAGATAGAAAGATAGAAAGGAAGGAAAGGAGGGAGGGAGGGAAGGAGGGAGGGGATAGATTTTTAAACTTTTTAAATGTTAACTTGAAATTTTTTAACTTAAATTTTTAATGTTAGAAAACTTCTCCATACCTCACTCAGCAGTATCTTTACTTCCCTTTTGTCAAGAGGGGTTTTAAAAGACAATAATTCAACCCTTCTTCTTCCTCAAATTCTCAAGCTGAATACTGTTTATCAGCTCTGATGTTATTGAATTGCTCAGATGGCTGGGTGTCTTAAAAACCAACCAACCAATAAACAAACTAAATAACATCTCACTCAAACGAATTTATTCCAAGTGGCATTAAAAAATGCATTAAGTCAGCAACTGTTATTAATTGGTGCAATTTCAGATCGGGACAAGGGTTATGTTGCCTCCCAAAGTACACACATACACTCTAGATTTGAATATTTGGGGGAGTAGGGGAATACCTGATAGTCTTTATTTTCCAGGAACATTACTATCTAGTTCAGCGGTTCTCAACCTGTGGGTCGCGACCCCTTTGGGGGTTGAACGACCCTTTCACAGGGGTCGCCTAAGACCATCGGAAAACACATATATAATTACATATTGTTTTTGTGATTAATCACTATGCTTTAAGTATGTTCAATTTGTAACAATGAAATTGGGGGCCACCACAACATGAGGAACTGTATTAAAGGGTCTCGGCATTAGGAAGGTTGAGAACCACTGCTCTAGTTCCTATTGCTCTTTTCTTCCAAATCCTCACTCTTCCTAATGCCTTTCCTGGTACCTTTTGTCAGGCTCAGCTATCCAAGCCTGTAAGAATAGATGGCTGAGCTCCACCTATGTGTGACAAAATACATTTTTGTAGCTGTCCTTCATCAAGCAATCTGACAATGTGGGCTAGGCTGATCAATCCCTCTCTGATTAGTTTGATTACAGAATCCAGATGATCCAGATGATGAGGGTGTTGTCAATGGAACATCAGGGCCACTCATTCACTCATTCATTCATTAGAGAGAAGTTTTAATAACTAAGTTGACAGACCCTGTACTTAGCACTGAAGTTACAAATATGAGAAAGATACCATCCCTGTCCTTTAATATTTTACATGTTTATCAGGGAAATCAACATATGAGAAAGCAACACACATAAACACTCTGGCAAGTGCTATATAGGTATGATCCAGGGACTGTTTGTAGCAAAGTAATCAACTAACTGATTAAAAGTAAAGAAACAAGATTCAAAAAAATCTTTAGGAAAAAAGAGAGCTTTGTGGTAGGTCTCCAGAAATGGCCAGGAGTTATCCAGACTTACTTGGGAGACTACTCCAGGTTTACATATTTTTAGAGTATGTGTAAAGTGTTAAAGTAAGAACGGCCATGATGAGCTCAGGGAACCTGAAATAATTAGCATAGCTAAGAAGCATCCCTGTGGCAACATGGCAAGAAATGATGATGTCAGAACAATAGGCAGAGGTTGGATCAAAATGAACCTTATAAGCCTTGCTAAGAACTTTAGTTTTTATCTGTAAACAATTAATAATCGGCAAAGGGTTTTTTAAATCACATAATAATATATTCATTTCGAAAAGAAAGTGTGAGTATAGGGGGGCGGGTGTAAAAAGGGAAATACTAGAGGTGTGGAGACTCATTTGGAGATTACTATAATAGTCTGGGTAAAAGATGACAGAGGTTACATAGAGGACAGAAGATGGGCTAAATACAAAACAAAACATATTTCTGAAAAGATTTGTTGTTGCATGGTATATAATGTCTGAGTGAGATGAAGGTGTCTAAAATGACCTGCTAGGTTTATGGCTTGAGTCATCAAATAAACAGCAAGTTTGTAGGGGGGAAAAAAGAGACTTTGAGGAGAGTGAACTTTGTTGGTATTCTCTTTATATGGTATAAAATTTGGGTCAGGCCCAGCCAGTGTGGCTCAGCAGTTGAGCATCAACCTGTGAAACAGGAGGTCACAGAGTTCAATTCCTGGTCAGGGCACATGCCCGGGTTGTGGGCTCCATTCCCCATAGGGGCCATGCAGGAGGCAGCCGATCAATGATTCTCATCATTGATGTTTCTATCTCTCCCTCTTCTTTCCTCTCTGAAATCAACAAAAATATATTTTAAAAAAGAAAAGAATTGGGTCAGGCCATTGTTCATATACAGAAACCTATATGCAAAAGTGACTAGCAGGGCATAGCTAGGCTACTGATGTGTTTCATTTGGCGAGCATACTACTGGTTTATGTTGTTTAAAATATGAATTAGTTAAAATGTTTAGAAATTAGGAGATGACACACACACACACACAAAAAAAAAATCCCTGGATTTCCATTTTCTCTTAAGTCAAATATCCAGCAATCCCGGTCACATCCCCTCTGAACAAGCAGCTGGACCTGAGTAGTTGTAATCTCACTTTGGACTGGACATGTGTGAGCCAGCACATCAGAGTTTCCATCATTTTTTAATGCCTCCCCTACACTGAAGCTGGCTTCATTCACTTAGACCTGTGGACAGACCTGGATAGTCTTAACAAAATCACTTCCCCAAATCCTCAACTTCTGTATGTAATCTTTCCTAACATTTTTCTAAGAGCATGTGCTATTCTTACAGTAAGCCCTTCTTTCACTTAAACAAAAGAAAAACATACCAATTACCCACCCCAAATGGGTTCATCGTACATTGCCTGAGGCCATAAAATCCTCTCTAATACTAAAAGGAGCACTTAAATATTAGTTTTACAAATGCCTCCTTTCATGATTGATCAAGGTATTTATTTCCCTGTTTCATACCCATTTCTGTGAAGGATAAAACAAGACATTAAAATAGGATATTTTAGGCCTCTATTGAGACACTCTGATTTTTTTTTTTTTCAGCATAGAAAATAAAACATTTTTATTTAATTTCCTTACAATGATCTAGAGGAAGAGCCTTCATGGGACAAAGCAAAAAATAAAAATAAAATAAAAGCATCAGTATGATATTCTGAATACTAAAAATGTCTTTTTCCAAGTAAATGTAAGCAATTCTTGCTAATGATTCTCATTACTCATTCATACATGTCATTTGCTGAAAGAAAAGCATATTTGAATAGTGAAAGCTACTGATGAAGCTTTTATATTTAACCAGAATGTATTTGAGGAGTACCAAAATTTTCCTAGAAACAGCACCCATGAAAAAACTTCTTTTAAAAAATATATTTTTATTGTTGATAGTAATACAGATATTTCCCATTCTCCCCCCCCCCCAAAATGAAAAAACTTCTTAAAGATGAAATATAGGTAATGCAGACATTCATTAAAATAAAGTACTAAGGAATGGAGATGACATGGTCAAAAATCTGAGGTAATTTTGAATATAGAAAATAATAGAAATACTTTTTAAAAAGTCCCTAACAAAGTAAAAATATCCATCAAAAATGGGGAAGAGTACTATATGTCAACTATAATTACAAATAATTTTTTAAAAATTAAAAATAGAATAAAATAAATGAGGAAGAGAACAGAAGTATAAGCCTATTAATCTTTTCATTTCTTACTGTAGAGAGTCAATTAACATGGCCTAAAACTATAAATCTAATTTTATTTTGGTTTTATATATTTTTTTATTGATTCATAGAGACAGAGGAAGGAAGAGGGAGAGAGAAACATCGATGTGAGAGTGGAACATTGATCAGCTGCCCCCCTACACACACACTCCTCACCAGGATCAAGCCTGCAACCCAGGCATGTGCCCTGACCAGGAATTGAACCAGCAACCCCCAGTGCATGGGATGATGCCCAGCCAACTGAGCCACACTGACCAAAGCTATAAATCTAATTTAAAAAAACTCATTTATTGCCCTGACTGGTTTGGCTCAGTGCATAGAGCGTCAGCCTGTGGACTGAAGGGTCCTGGGTTCGATTCCAGTCAAGGGCATGTACCTTGGT